CATGCTAACCGCTTTTCAGTACTTTCAGTACTTTGATTTTTCTTATGATTATGGTTTATTATGAGTTTGTTTAATGGTTTGAAAACTTCCAGAAATTAACCTGACTATGGCCTCTTTCTAACCAGACAATATCAATTTTACAAACATCAAATATCTTTACAGGGTTACGTGTATTGTATCCATCTTTTAAAACAGTCTATTTTCTTTCATTTGCAATGGAGAAGATAATAACATTGAAAACATAAAACAAGTTGGAAATATATATTCCGGGGGTGGGTGTACTAGTAGTAAAAGCAATTTGGGTGTACAATATGGCATCGTCTTAAAATGGAAATAATTAATTCAGAAATTGATATCTTATTAAGACATGTTCCACAAATTAACTTTGCAATCTCTCTTTTATAGTTATAAGATGTCAAAAGCCATATTTTGGTAGACACTTAAACTTAACAGATTATAAAGAAGAATACTCTTATGAAGAGGAAATATACTTCCGGTGTGAGGGTGGTTTTCGGCTGCGTGGAATTGTCAGTGCCATTTGCGGCAATAATAATAGGTTTAATATTACAGAGATTCCATTCTGTGAAGGTATACCATTTTTAAAATATTTATACACATTTTCTTTTATTCGATTTATATCCTTCCAATATTTGTGTAGAAATATTTTTAGATGTAATTTTAGTGGTAATTTTCATAGCAGTTTTAATTCTTTGCGCCTTTTTCACTCGATAAAGATGCTGCAATATCCAACCATTTTACCGTCTCCAGCCTTACACTAGGAGCATCTGTAGGAGGTGGAATTGCTTTAATGCTCATATTATTTGGATTGTTTGTGTGCATTAGGTAAATTAATCACACATCGTGTTTGCAACTTATTTTGGAGCGTGAGAAATGACATATGTTTTCTTTTTATTTCAACGGTTTGCTGCTGTCTTTGCAGGAAAAAGTATCTTGGAAAAGAGTCTAATTATGAGAAGTCGAAGATTAATGTAACGGAGCAGCATCTGTACACGGACATTATTCATAACAGACAGACTGACGTGCAGGATAGGGAGCCAACTTACAACTATATCAATGGCAAGTGTTTATTTTCTTATAGCATCCATTAATCTTTGCAATGAAGATAAAAGATGAAATTATCAAGGTCTCTAGTTACTTAAAAAAGTTATGACGCAATTTCTTTTCTTTTCAGACGTGGGAGTTGTAGGTCCTTAACAAAACCGAAGAAAATAAACAGAAGAAGAGATCCAAAAAAGTTTACATTTCACTCCAATTCCATGTATGGACTTCTGGTTTAAAGAAACCACAATGTTAGACTCTTTTTAAAAAATATATATATTGTAAATTATGCACATATCGTATGCTTCGTTTAAAACAATATTTATTTTAAACAAATATTCACAATTTTGTGGTAAGCAAGCTCATTTACATCCACAAATGCTAGCACATTTTTATTCAGATAGTTTACATGCACTTTAAGTTTTATGCTTTGAAATGACAAGATTAATTGATTGATTGGTTGCATATTGTTTAACGTTCCTATCGAGAATTTTTCACTCATATGGAGACAGCACCACTTGCCGATGGAGAGCTGCAAATTTTGTCCTATACTGGGCACTTATGGCTATTGAGCAGAGCGGTATCTTTTTCGTGTTAGCACCTACTGCAACACCATCTTCGCAACAGTTAAGTCATCTTCGATAGCCAAGGGTTTTCGGTCCACTCCGCTCCCCATAAAACCCTTGGTTAGCGAAGATGCTGAAACACGGGACCTCGGTTTATACGGTCTCATCCAAATGAACGATCTCCACGTCCCACAGTGTGATTCGAACCCGGAATATAAGGATAAACTCTTTATGACCCATGAGATGAGCTAACCCCATCCCTTTTAGTCAAGAATACTTGCACGTTTTATTTCAAACTGTAAAAATAAATTGGGCAGAGCCGATAAAAATTTGAAAAGTTTGTGACAAAAAAGACAACGGTGAGCCTAAGCTTAGGTGAGTTAAAAGTTCTCTACACATATAGAAGATAAGAAGAATTTTAAATATTTTTCCTATATATACCAATGTAAAACTTTGATTGCCCATTGTGGCCCCACCCTACACCGGGGGTCATTTTTAAAATAAATTTGAATCTACACTACCTGAGCATACTTCCACATTAGTTTCATCTTTTCCAACTCAGCGGTTCTTGAGGAGATCTTTAAAACATGCCACCAAATTTTCACTTAATTTCTTAGTTATCTCCCCTTGAAAAGGGACTGGCTCTTCATTTGAACAAACTTGAATCTCCTTCACCTAAGGATTCTTGTGGCAAGTTTGGTTAAAATTGGCCCAGTGGTCTGAAGAAGTCAAAAATGTGAAAAGTTTACAGACAGACAGACTACAGACAAATTGTGGTCAGTAAAGTTCACTTGAGCTTTCAGCTCAGGTGAGCTTATGGTGCAGGATTTTAGAAATAAATGTCAAGACCAAAATCTGTCAAAAGCTCAGGATCGAACCTCCATAACAAGTTATACCAAACATTTATAATACCCTTTCTATAACCAGAAATCTCTGATGAGACTGTAGCTCTGCTGGTCTGTACGTATAACAAAGGAAAAGTAGCACATGGATTTGATACTTTGCAACAGGCAGCAAAAACTAGAATTCGTGTACCCTAGTGTATTCTATTTGCATATGTTTCCCTTGTATAATACTATTTGAACAAGGCGGTTTTACATCTCCGTAAAACACGTTCGTCATGTGACCATAAATTGATTGTTTAGTCATTAGCGATTTCATCATGACGTCATATTCGATTGACTTTATCTTCACATTCAATTAATATCGTTGGGTTTTGAAAAAAAAACTTTATGGATTTCAATCTTTGCTTAAGTACCTTACTATTTGTAATAAATCAGTCACAAATGTAAATATAAGTAATAAGGTATAATTTTTTGAATTTTATTGGGATGTAAAACGGGTTGGCACATGATAAAATCTTTCATAAAGCCCTTCGGGCTTTCTGGGATTTGATCACGTGACCAACCCGTTTTACATCCCAATAAAACAAACATTGATGTCTTATTTCTTAATTGAAATCACCCTAAACCTCTAGGAGGAGTAGCGTTTAAAGGAATTTCACAGAAATTTCTATTTTTGTACCATGGCAAGACCGTTCATCGAAATCAAAAACCGATGCATTAAATTACTAGTATGTGTTAGTGTAGTCTACTTGTGTTCCAAGTGATGTTGAAATCAAACTAAACGAAAAGTAGCGTTTTAAAGGAAATTCACAGAATTTCTATTTTTTGTAACCATGACAACACCGTTGATCGAAATCGAAATCAAAAAGCGATGCATCGAATTATGTATCTTTGTGTAATCTACTTGTGTTGCAAGTTATATTGAAATCAGACTAAAACTGTAGAAGGAGTAGCATTTTAAAGGAATTTCACAGAAATTTCTATTTTTAGTAACCATGACAACACCGTTGATCGAAATCAAAAACCGATACACAAAATTGTGTATCTTTGTGTAATCTACTTGTTTGCATAGTTATATTGAAATCAGACCAAAACTTTAGGAGAAGTAACATTTTGAAAAGTTGTTTACAGACAGACAGCTAGACAGACGGACAGACAGACAGCTAGACAGACGGATGGACGACGGACACCTTATTATCGCATAACCACTTCTGGTCACTGACCAGTAGAGGTAATGAACAATTTTCACTATTGACATACACTTATGTTTGAAAGAATTTTGTCTTACGTTTAAAAAGATATTTCAACCTAAAAAGATGATTTGTTTAGAACATAATATACATACATAATATACATAATAAACATAATACACATATAGTAATAGGTTCATATATCACCAATAAGTTATATATAACTAACACAAAATTGAATGGAATTTAGGAAAATATGAAAAAAAAATTACATAAGAGTGAAGAGAGAAAAAGAAAAATAACAACAATTGAATACCGGTTTATGTGGAGATGAGAGAAAAAAAATCGAAAAATGAGAATTAAGCAATTCATAAAGAACTGGAATAATTATTTTATAGTTTCTGAATCACTTCATTTATGAAACCTTTTGGTTTGTGATATATATTTATGCACACAATCAAACAATTTCATATTTTTTTTGCATAACAAATATTACTATCACCAAATGTCACGACAGCCGTCGTGTTCTGTCCAGTCAGATATAACAAGATTTTTTTTTCTATTTACAATTTTTTATCTATAAATAAAATCAATAAATACCAATATTCACAATATATTTACACAGCCATTATTTACAATAAATAGAACTTAAAGTCTCTTATAATCCTCAATATCGTTGGCTCCGAACCACGTCTACACAGACACGCCCCGTTTCACGACGGACTCCCGCCAACTGGCTCCCAGTGGGTATCCCGGTCTGATTAAGGTGGTCACCAACACGCACACACGGCTAGATTATTGGATTACATCAGGAACCTTTGAATTAAATAACATTTTTAAGTCACAAGCTACGTATACAAAAGAAAAACTCAAGTCACCATTGACTACAATTGCACTAATGGCACACCATACAATCAGTCCCGGTAATTTTAACCGAACACTATTATAATAAGAAAAACGTTAAGAATACACAACATCTTAACAAAAGTGGTTTTAACTATTAAACCCACAACACCGACTTTATAAGCGGGAAAACAAAATAGCCTACGTGCGTATATAACTCAGTACATTGCACAAAAATAGAACAATAAACGCATGAGTAACTCTACCCAGCAAAACCTGTATACGTAAATAGTAACAAAAACATTAATTAACTCAAGTTCTTAAATAGTTCTACGTTTTAAATGTATTACTCAAAAACTTACATATGAAATAAAAAACAAACTTACCCCTTTGGAGAAATGGTTACCGTTGAAAGAAAAAATTTAGCCACTCATCTTGGACTGTATGTCAACCATTTAAAAGCTATGAAAACGTGGACCCTGGTTACCTGGTCAGCTATGCAGCGATTTAAATACCCCAAAATACAATAGGTCGTAACTGACCAATACCTGCAAAACTTAACTGAGGTTCAATAAGGTAACAAAAGTATAGAGGTCCAGTAAAGGGTAAATAAAATAAAAACCATAAACATAATGTAAATGCAATTAAAATTAAATATTGATTGTGACAATATCTATCCAACATAAGAAAGTTCAACGAACTTTTGAAAAAAACACAATCAATTATAGCATAAAATCGACTATATATAATTATATACATATCTAAATTCTGCTAAGACAATCAGCTCCTACATTTTCAGAACCCTTGATGGAAATAATGCGAAACCTGTAGGGTTGCAGAAGTAATGCCCAGCGCATCAGACGTGCATTAGACACCTTGGCTTTGGTAAGATATACTAGTGGTTGATGATCTGTCTCTAGTAGGAATTCCTTACCATACAAATACCTGCGGAACTTTTGAACTGCCCAGATTATCGCATAGCACTCTTTCTCGATTGTAGAGTAATTTACCTGACATTTGGAAAGTTTCTTGCTAGCGTATGCGACAGGTTTCTTCACACCATCTTCGTACTGCATCAAAACTGCCCCAACACCACGACCTGACGCATCTGTCTGTAAAACAAAGCTTTCATTTAAATCAGGTAGTTTGAGAACTGGTGTTACCGTTAAATCGTTCTTGAGAGTGATGAATGCATTTTCTTGTGGCTCTTTCCAAATCACTTTGTTCGGCTGGCCTTTCTTGGTAAGATCTGATAAAGGCGAAGCAATAGCTGAAAAATTCGGAATGAATTTACGATAGAATCCTACCAGACCTAAAAATGATCGCACTTGCTTCTTCGTTGAAGGTTGGGTAAAGTTGTGAATGGCGGAAACTTTGTCAGGAAGAGGTCTAAGTTCTTCATTTCCTGCAATATGTCCGAGACACTCAAGACTCCGGTAACCAATAAAACACTTACTTGGTTTCACAGTCAAATTCGCAGCACGAAGTCTTAGCAGAAGTTCCCGAATTACATTAACATGTTCCTGAAATGTTCGAGTGTACACAATCACATCGTCTATAAAGTTATCCACACACTGCATTCCGTCTAAGAGCTTACGCATCAGGCGACTGAAACTTGCGGAAGCGTTTATCAAGCCAAAGGGCATAACCCTGAATTGAAACAAACCAAGTGGCGTTTGGAAAGCGGTGATCTCCTTCGCTGCATCATCCAAAGGTAACTGCCAGTATCCCTTAGATAGATCAAATTTGGACACATATTTACAGCCAGATAATTGTACATAAATATCATCAGCACTTGGAATGGTTTCTGCATCGAAAACAGTTACTTTATTAATTGCACGAAAATCGATACAAAACCTGTTCGAACCGTCCTTCTTTTTCACGATGACTATCGGGGAACTGTATGGACTCATTGAAGGCTCGATCACATGGGCTTCCACCATCTTTCTTACCTCGTCACAAACAACGTCTTTTGAAGTAAACGGCAGAGGATAAGGCTTGGTGCGAATAGGCTGGTCACTAGTCAACTTGATATGATGAACTCCGAGATTCGTCAAACCAGGTACATCTGATAAAACATCTGAAAAATTCTCTAGTAATGTCTTGACTTCTGCTTTTTCATTCTCAGTTAGTTCATCACTTACTTTCACATCTGCCGGTCCCTCTTTTTTCGTTTCTCCTAGAGAATCACACAACAGCTCATCGTCGCTCTCTCCATCATCATCTAGATCGAGTACTGCGGCGCCTACAACACCTAGAACACCTGTCTCATCATTACTCTCGTTTGCTCTGTCAATGTACAACTTCAACATATTTGCATGAAATGTTTTGATTTTTCCATTCACGTTAATTCTGTAATCAACTTTTCCTAGTCTCTCTATAATTTCATATGGACCTTTCCATTGCATTTGTAATTTGTTACTGGCAGTTGGTAAAAGAATAAGAACTTTCTCACCTTTTGACATTTGTCTGTTCCGTGCTCCCTTGTTATAATACTTCCGGTATTTCTCTGACGACTTTTGTAGATTCTCTCTCGCTAATCTGCACGTAGCTTCTAGTCGTTCCTTCAAATCAACAACATACTGGTATGTAGTTCTAACCTCTGAATCTGCTACTTCTTTAGTCCACAACTCCCTCAAAATCTTCATAGGTCCTCTAACTTCGTGTCCGTAAACCAGTTCAAACGGTGAGAATCCTAAACTCTCCTGTGGTGCATCACGGTAAGCAAACAATGAGGCTGATAGATACTTATCCCAATCAGTAGGACGTTCCGCACATAACCGTCGGAGTATCTGCTTCAATGTACCGTTGAACCGCTCGACCAGTCCATTGCACATGGGGTGGTACGGTGTCGTTGTTAACTGTCGTATAGAAAGTAAACGACTAACCTCTGTCATCAGCTCGGATGTAAATTGTGACCCCATATCCGTGAGCATTTCCTTCGGTACTCCTACTCTACAAAATACATCTACCAGAGCCTCAGCGACTCGTTCAGTGTCAATTCCTTTTAAAGCAATTGCCTCTGGGTAACGGGTAGCAAAGTCAACAATAGTCAAAATGTAACGATTACCCTTACTGGTTGCTGGCTGGATAGGTCCTACCAAATCGACAGCTACACGTCTGAACGGTACCTCAATGATAGGCATATCTCCGAGTGGTACC